TCAACAGACGACAGCTTCTCTTTCTGGCCTTGCTGAAAAACTTAAAAGAGTGAGACAGAGAAAAAAAGACTAGTTGCCAAAAACTTCGCACATACCGGGCAAGTCAACATGTATAGTTTAGGATCCTTCACTGATGGAAGTAACGCTTGCTGCTCAACCACAGTGGCCTCAGAGTCGTCGTACGTATCGTAGCTCGTAGTTTTATAACGCTGCTGAAGCATCTTCTCAATTTCGATATCCTCCAGATCTTCTCCAGTATCGAGAAGAGCAGGACGCTGGGGAATTCTACTTCTTCGGGAGCTCTCTTCTTCCGGGATAGTGTCCTCAATAAATCCTGTGAACAAAGCATGGAAAACTTAAACGGACAACAGGAAAACAAAAGAGAGAATTTACCCTCTTCTTCCTCTTCTTCCTCCTCCTCCTCATCACTCGCAACCTGGGCAGCATCATCGATGAAAGCAGAAGCACGGCTTCTCCCCCTCTTCTTCCTAGACGGGGCATCGTCCTCCTCGTCTTCGTCTTCCTCAGCTACATCGTCGACATAGCTGTTCCTCTTCTGCTTGCGCTTGCGCTTTTTCCTATCCTCTTCCTCATAATCTTCATCGTCGTCTAAATCCTCACCTTCTGGCTCTTCTTCCTCCTCCTCCTCGACCTCCTCGTCGTCGTCGTAATTCTGAGCTCCCATCACCGCCTCGCGCTTACCCTTTCCTGAGATTGCCCAAGAACCCTAGAACTTTGGCGATGGCTTGGAAGGGCACTTCCAGCTCACCTATGGCGCCATCGCCAATGAACTATCGCTCTAGGGTATGAATGGAACACCTGATTTTGCCCAAGAACCCTAATGTCGGGCATAAAAACTTTAGGGCAAAAAGGGGGGAGCGATGGCGTGGAAGGCGCACGCGGCACTGGTGCTCGTCCAGCTCAACTATGGCGCCTATCACGTCATCGCCAAGCTCGCGCTCAGTGTGGGGATGAATCAGATCGTGTTTTGTATGCTGCGGGACGCGGTCGCCATCGCAATTCTCGCCCCCATTGCTTTCGTCAAGGACAGGTTCTCTCCTTTGGTCCATCATATACATTCTTTAAGTGATGATCTTTCGTACAGTGAGATCCGGCCTCCACTCACTCGGAAGCTCGCATTTTCCTTTTTTTTCCTTGGGCTCACAGGGTGAGTGAAACTGCTGAAATCTAAAAGACTCGCCCGCGAGCGAGCGATCGATCGAAACTTTTGTTGCTGGATGGCTGTACCTCGCAGGATCTTTGCGAACCAGCTACTGTTCATGGTTGGATTGAAGCTCACGTCTCCAGCTTATGCTGCGGCACTCCAGCCGGCGACGCCAGTTTTCACGTTTTTGCTCTCGCTCTTCATGGGGTCGGTTGGTCCGTTCTTACTCCCTCGTTTTCCATTCTCGTTGGTTTTTCTTCGTTGCTCTAGCTTGTTACTAACGCAGTGATCTTTCGTTTTTCTTTGAGCAGCTCCGAGACTGTGAAGATCCACAGATACGATGGCCGAGCTAAAGTTGGTGGTGTGCTTCTAAGCGTGCTGGGAGCGCTCTTGATGTCCGGGTATAAAGGACCACAGGTTGTTCCTGGCTTACAAGGGATAGACTTCCAGACTGCAATGGGAGGAAAGCCTTCGCCGGAACCGCTTGGATGGTTCACGACAATTCTCGTGGAGATTGGAATCGACTTGTGGCACATTGGTATCATTTGCCTCATTGGAAACTGCTTGTGCATGTCGATCTACATGGTCTTCCAGGTAAGAAACGACATCTCACTTCCGAGATCTCATGGCAAACTTCTGTTTTGTAGTCGCTACTACTGGCAAGGTATCCGGCCGCCTTGTCAGTCACAGCGTACTCCTACTTCTTTGGAGCGGGGATGATGGCTCTCGCGGCCTTGTTCACCACAAGAGAACCGTCAAACTGGTCACTAAACAGCTCGGAGGTCTTTTCTGTGATATATGCTGTAAGTTCCAACATTTTGCGTTCCTTTCCAGCTGATGGAAGACTTGGTTTCTCACAGGGCGTGGTCGCATCTGCACTAAATTACTGGTTACTCACTTGGACCAACAAGCTGCTTGGGCCGTCGCTGGTCGCACTCTATATGCCTCTGCAACCATTTGCTACGGCAATTCTTGCACACTTTCTTCTCGGCAGTCCTATTTACCTCGGGAGGTCAGCTAAAAAACCGATTTTTTCAAGCTGTTTGTGTTGATATTTGTCTTCTCCAGTGTCTTTGGAGGTGGACTAATTATTCTCGGCCTCTACTGCGTGACATGGGGAAGATGGCAAACTGAGAAACTCCTGCTAGCCACGTCCCATAAACGAGAAGATCACTTCGAGCGATGGAGAGGAGAAGAAGATCTTCCTCTCACGGAATCGCTCTACAGGCTTCTGGATCCCAAAGGCTTGACACAATTGCCACTGTCAAGATCCTGGGGAGAACCACAATGACCAGCAATGAACTCCATCGAGGTACTTTACAAATCCTGCCTCTTTTTTGGTTTTCATTACAAGTGTAGAGAAAAATATGTATCACAACACCTTAGGCACTTCATACCTTGAGGGCTCTCTCTTTTGTCGATGTACAAAATTACTTACTGTTCCTAGTTCTTCCTAGCAGCATCAAGGGACTTCCAGCAAGCTTGGAGAATCGTTTTTATCCGAGTTGAGATCGAGGGCGCTGAGATCTTTCGCCAGACTGGTGTTGTGCTGATCTTGCTCTTTGTTCTCTGTGAAAAGGACAATCAAAGGGGGTAAAGCTTAAAAGATTTGACTCACCACTGTTGTTGTAGGCAGCCGCGCTGTCGTCCTCGGCCAGGAATTCCATCTCTTCTTCCTCTTCCATAAGCTCCATCTCCAGCGCCTCTAGATCCTCGGGGCTCAGCTCCTCCTCCATTCCCTGGTACCTCTCCCTGAGCCAGTAATCTCTAAACGCGGGGCAATTCTCTACCAGGCACCACCACTCGGGCGAGAAATCCTCCGTGTCGATGTAGGCCGCCGGGATGAAGAGC